GTGCAGTGATCGTCTTTGCTTACGCCACCAGTTACTCCAGTTACGGCTCTAAACTCTGTAAAGATTCATGGCAGATCGGAATCTTGGTCCCACGACAGTAATCCCAGACCCCAGTCGTGATTCTAGAATCCATTTGGTTGCAGGATGTCCAACTGCCGATGTTCCTGGCATCCGATGCCTTCTTTTGGCGGAACGCGAGAGCGGTGCAGGCAGCCGGCAGCTGCATCCCTGGCGGCTGGCTGTGAACAGCTTCGGATGCCCTCTCCCAGATGCGCCACATCTCCAGCTTTGTTACAGAAAGGGAAGCTCTTTGTGTGGAATTTTATCTGGAGTCAGTCTGTGGGGAACACATTTCTTCCAGGAAGTTGAAGCCAAGCGCTAGCCGTTTTATGATTTTGCAGACAACTCAACAGAAACCGCTTAGCAGAATTCTTATTACTTTTTTTTTGACTCTGCTTTTCTTTGCATAGGCACATCATAAATCGTTGTCAAATGTTGGGTGAATCTGAACTGATTGAAAGAGGCTCTATTTCCTGTGAACAATCTGTCCTTGCTCAGTCCTGATTGTCACTTGCCTAGAACTTATTTAATTTCACATCTCAGCAAATACAGCATTATTCTCCAGTAGAGCTGGCTTCTCAAACCATCACTCTCCTGGTTATTTATCATACATATCTGTAATTGAATTACCTATTGCAGTAATGTGATCTACTCACAAACGTACATAAAAATGCAACATAAAATAAAATTGTTCCAACATATACTTCCTCATCATCTTACATGAACCGCAGGATGGCCAATTCCAGAGACACAGTGACAAATAAGGAATGAAAGATGGGAAGATAAGGGATTAGTGGGTTCATGGCCTTCCAGAAATAAAAGATATTCAGCCCTAGAAAAATGTATTCTCTTTCAGAATACAATGTTTTTCAATATTAATCAGGAAACCAGTTCTAGCACATTGGGGGGAAAAAAAGAGCCAAGAATGGAATGATTTTATTTTTCCCAAATGCAACAGTACTATGCCAATAAATTTTAAAACTCAGAAAAAGAGAAATAAAGTATGTCCATCTTTGCTCTTGTCAGACAACCATTAATCTCGGACAGAAAAAAAGAAGGAAAAGAAAAAGAAAACAGCAATTCTTTTGAAAAAAATTCTGTTTTCTTGAGTGCACTGTTGGGTTGACCCTACTGTAAATGCCATGCCCCAGGTGAAATGTAACTTGTCTTTGAAGTTGCCTGGCTTCAAAACACTCTGAAATTCAGAGGGAGGTTTCATTAGCTCTATAAGCTTTAGACAGCATAGATTAATTGTGCTATTATCAGTACATTATAATAAATTACTTATACACTATATTCTCTTGGATCAAGTTTTCGTCTGCTTTACTCTGTTTGACTTAAATTCTGAATCAAAACAAGTTTTGGGTAAGCTCACTGAAAGTGAAAAGTTTATCCATGTACATTCCAGTCCACTTTAGTTTTTTTCTTCTTGTCTTGCTATTAGAAATAGATTTTATATATCCAGCTAACAAATTCATCAAAGAAATAAATGATCTATTTATCAAGCATACAAAAAGCTGCTTCTTCAAAGTGCTTCCCAATGAGCTACTCCTCACCTGTTGAATTTATCATTACGATGTTACCAATTTGGGCAGGGATTAGAGACAGCAGATTGCCCCCTATCTACAGCAGATCATTTCTACAAGGCAGCAAGGCAAAGTGACAAACACCAGTAATTCTCAAAAAAACTTCTGCATCTCAGTTTTAAAAGGTTGCTGGAAACATGTGAAAATGTCTGTGTTGTCAACAACAGTACAAAAAGATAATACAAACAACTACAAGCACTTATATATATCTTAGTACTCAAGAAAACAGTTCACTTTCACTGTATAAATTTACAAACGGATACAGGCGGACAGAAATGTACAAGGTTCCACATCGCACACTTTGCACTTGGGTGTAACTCAATTTGTTAGACACTGTAATTTACATTTTAAAAATTATTTAACATTAAGCATACAAATCTGTCACCTTGGTGTTATAATTATACCCTAAGCAATTTGTCTGAGTAACTATAGCAACAATTTCAGAAGCACTTGCAAATAAAACTTTGGTATAATTTTAGAATCAAGAATTATGGAGGATTTACTGCAGGATGTAGGGCTACTTTTCTCAAACACTTGTCCATATACTGCTACAGAACTGGATTCCTTGACTCAGGAATTACCTAATTAGTTTGTTCTATCTTGCAAACTATATGATTTGCAAGGCAAACCTTCTTGTAGGGATTCTTTTCTTATCATAGTGATTTCTAGAGTTCGTAATTACTTGTTTATACAGTGGAATGCCTTTATAACTTTGGCTGGACATTTACCAAAGTTCTGTTTCTCCCTCCCTGACTTTCCTTTATTTTTATCAGAAACAAAGCCTCCATTTCAATGATTCTGTAACCAAAAAGAAAGAAATTTGGAATCATTCAAAATAATTATCAAATTAGTAAAGGCTATGCAGTGAAGGTTCAGTTAAGCAGCTCTAACACCAGGAGCATTCAACATAGTCCCAAGGAGCTGGCATAGAACACAAAGCAAAGTTTTTGCGGTTTTAACATTTGTCACTGAATTAAGAGTCCAAAGGGCCTCTCAAGCAAAATTTCTTACTGCAAAGCCATGGATTGGGCTTCAGAAGGTTTGTGAACCCTCTAGAGCTTAAGCAAAAGCTTATGCTAATGTGCGTATATTTATTATAGCCCCATAGCCAACAACTTTTAACAGTCACTGTACTGTATGTTTCCGTTTCATTCTGTCCAGAAACAGTCAAGAAATAATTTTAAAAGGGAAGCAGCAGCGAAGAATGCAGGTTTATTTTTACCGAATTCTGAACATCTCAAAAACTTCTTTTGGACAGAGACAAGCTTTACCACCCAGGAGACCAAAGTCTTTGCTCTCAGCAGGGATCTTGCAGCTGTTTGCCATTAAAACAACCAAATAAGTTAGCACAATTCACAAAAGGCATAAAATGATTAGCATCATCCGTCTTCTCCCTATTAAGGCAAGTATGCATAGACAGGCTCAACACACGTAAAAGCAGGTACCAGTTCATCACCCCTGGGGGTCCAGGAGCCCGCAAATACGACGTGACTTTGCAACACCATGGATGAGCTGCTATTTTGTGGCAAAGTTTTAACAAGAAAGAAATTCAAGGGAAAAGAAATCTGTGTTTCAAGTAGCTCAAACAATTATATCTTGGACTGCTTTTTCTTTTAAAACAAAAATGAAAAATGGTTGGGATAAAAAAAAAAACATGTTTCCTTTGGTATAAATACAGGCATAGACAAGAAAAATGTATTTAAGTCATACACAATTTAAGGTATTATCTCCCAAAACTGAAACCGCGAACTGGTCACCCAAAGTAGTGCATGATAAACATTACACCTTCTTCAATAATAAAATCAGCACAATTGGCAATTACTTTGGCAATTCTAATTAGATGTGAAAATCTTCCCTAGCAAAGACTGTTCTTGTTTTTCTGTGTCTACTCAAGAAAGACTAAAACAGTAAAATTACTAACGGATCTGCTCTTTCCAAACTTGGCCAATATGCCGGAGCTCTTCTGGATACGCTGTGACAACACGATTGTTTTTCCTAAAAACAAGGTGCAACCACCATTTGTAACTCCTGGCATTTTAACTAACGGGCTCCCGAGGAGCAGAACCTTGTCAGTATTAAACATAACTCACATTACTATTGCTGTTGTTACTGCTTTCCATTTTTGAGAAAATACTCACAAGGAGGAAGACGGCTGCATAGACAGGAGGAGTTTGCAGGGATACGTTCGTTGGTCTCAGGAAGAAACCTTGTGTTCGGCAACCACCTCTCGTGCCCTTCTCTCGGCAACGCTGACAGCTGCCCCTGGTTAACGGATCAGCTCCCCCACCCCCACCCCCACCCTTCTGAAATCACGGCCGGATCCGCCGGGTCCGGGACCCCCGCCCACCCACCCACCCAGGACTCCGCTCAGCACCGCTCACAGCCTCTCCGCCGCTCCCAGCGCTCGCTCGCAGCGCCCCCTGCCGGCGATCCCCGGACCGCCGCGGGCGCAGGAAAGTTCGATCCCAACTCTGAGCCGCCGCATCCAGGTACAAAGCAAGGCAAGGGCGAGGAGGTGCGCGCGCTTCCCGCCAAAGCCCCGGGAATCCGGCTCGGCCTGCGGTAAGCCGGGCACCGGCGCCGCGGGAAGCGAGCCCGCTCCACTCCTTGGCGGCGGTCTCCCCGCACATCTCGAGAACACCAGGTCCCTCCGGGGGACCGAATGTACCTCCGGCCCCGAAGCCCCGATCCAGGGGATGCGAAACCGTGCAGCCGCGAAGACGTACGGCGGAAAGCGACTCGCCCGGCGGCGGCCCATCAGGCGGCCCGAGCGCCCGCATCCCCAGCATCCCCAGCCTCATCCGCCCTCCACCAAAGCGCTCGGCGGAGTTGAGCCCAAGTCCCACTGCCTCCCGGGTTCTCACGCGCGCCGCAACACCCCTGTATAACTCGAACACGAAAACCTGCCCCAGCCGGTGGTTCGGCGAAGCCCAAGCCGCGCGGACCCCGCGCACCGCTCGCGACCAAGCCCCTGGACGCGCGCCGGGTGCGCGCACAAAGCCCCACCGCGCACCTTCCCGAGGCGTTTGGTGGGGGTCCCGCCTCGCCCACCACCAGGTCGCCCACCCCGTCGCTTCTGCTCCTTCCTTACCTCAGCACGCTCCGACCTCGGCCACGGCAGGGCACAAACTTCCAGCCCGTGCGCGAGCTCCGCTGTGCGCGCCCCGCACGGAGGGCAGTCCTAATCCCGGACGCGCAGCCACCGGCTGTCCCCCGCCCAGCGCCTGCGGATCGACCCCGCCTGCGACCCACACGACCCACCCGCCGACCACTGCCGCCCCGGGTCGCGGCCGGCAACGCGGCACGGTCGGGGCTGCGGCCACGGCCACGCGGGACCGGGCGGGGGTCGCTCACCAGGTGCGAGGCGCGCTCCTCGGGCCAGTCATCCAGCGCCGGGGGCTCCGGGGCAGCTCTGGGGGTCCTCGTCAGCGCCCGGCGACGGAGGTCGAGGCAGCGGCCGCCGCCGCCCCCTGCCACTTCCCCGGGGCCGCCCACCGCTCGCGGCGCTCCGGGCTGGGGACGTCGCTGTGAGCGCCGGGCGCACCGTCCCCGGGCGCGCAGCCGGGCCGGGGGGGAGCAGGTTCGCGCCCGGCGGGGGCGACCGACGGGGAAAGGCAAAGTTGGGTGCCGGAGCCAGCCCCGCAACGGAGCCACGGGCAGGAGCGGGGAGCCCCCGGTTAGGGCCCCGCGGGCCGGGCCGCCCCTGCGGAGGGCAGGCGGAGGCGGAGAGCCGCCACCGGGCACGGGCCGCGGCCGGCAGGGGGCTGCGGAGCCCACCCGCGGCGGGAGGACAGCGCGCGGGAGCGGGCGCAGCGAGAGCAGCCGCCGCCGGCGCCGCCTTCCCGGCGAGTAGAGCCGAGCGCGGAGCGCGGGCGGGGAGCGCGGGCGGGGAGCGCGGGCGGGGAGCGCTGGGCCGCTTCGCCCCGCCCCGCCCCGCCCCGCCCTCTCCCCGCCCCCGCCCCGCCCCCGCCCCCGCCCCTCGGCCGCGCCTCCTCCTCTCCTGCCGGCCCGGGTGAAACCCGAGCGCCCCACCCCGCGCCTGACCTCCCGGGGCCCCGCCCCCGACACGGCCCTTCCCGGTCCGGGACCCCCTCCGCGCCCGGGGGGCCCCTCTGCGCCCCAGGAGCCCCACTGCTCCTTCCCTCGTGCGAGCGCGCCCGAGCGTTACTTTCGGTGACTCCCTCTCCCTGGCCCCTCACACCGTCTGTGGCTCCCTTGCCCCCGCCTCCGGCCGCTCCGACGTGGCTGTCGGGGAGGGAGGGGGCGGGGGAGGGCGCGCTATAAAGGCCGGAGGCTGCGCGGGCCGAGGCCCGAGACGTGGCGCGCCCACCCTGCCGGCCCCTCGTCCAGGTACGTGCGCGTCCCCCGGCCGAATCTGGCCTCGTGGTGGGGGTGGGCCGGGGCCGCCGGGGCCTTCCGGACTCCGAGTGTGTGATTTTGTTTGCTTTGTGTGACCTCCCCTTGCTGCTCTGAGCTGGAAACTCCTAAAAGACCCAGAGAGTTGCTCCGGGTTCTTGGAGGAGCTATTTGAGGGTGCACCTCCGGGCTAGTTCGGCTGGATTTCAGTGGAATGAAGTTAGAGAAATGAGCAAATCCGACCAACCAAGGGAGGCGAGTCAGGGGGTCCCCAAATAGCCACGCTGAGCCTTAAGAAAGGAACCCTCGAACGGACAAAGTCAACTTGTCCAATTCTGGACTAAATGTTACTTGTTGCACTTTTGCGCGGATCCTTCGGCCTCAGGGAGCAAGTATTAGAAGTGTAAAGACTCATCACTGGAAAGCATAGTACCTTTTAAGGCGCCCAGACTTGGACATTTTGTTGCAAAGCTTCCGTGTGGAACCCTGAAGGGCCCCGCCTGACCCTTTCCCTCTGGGTAGGGGTGGGGAACGGTATCTTTGGGCCCTTTTTTCCTTGATCTCGGCCTCAGGCCGTGGCTGTAATGTTTCCCTTGAGTAAGGAAACGCATGAACGCGCCCCCCAGCGCTGTCGTCCCTTACCGCAGTGACACAGAATACCCCTTTGGCCCACATTCGCAAAATCGCTCCCGTGTCAGGTTCTTGGAATTTGTCCCACCGAGGAGGCCCCAGTGTGCCTAAACTGTACCATCGAGCTCACCTATAAAACAAAAAACAGGTCACTGGCTGGAAGGCATCATGGCTCACACAGTAGCCACGCAGATCCAAGAGGAGGACCATAGAAATACAAAGTGACCTTGATTTGTCTTTATAGTCTTTATAGAATATTTCCAAATGAAATAGTCTTATATAAAAGAACTAAAGAGAAGCAGTTCTGAAGGTTTGCATGGAAGGAAGCCCAGCCCCAAACGTCCAGTTTCTCACTCTCTTTAGTGATGGAGCTACTGTGGGTACTCTAGGCCTCATTGGGGTTTCCTGTAAGATATCCAGAGGAAATGTCAGTGTCCCAGGGCCTCTTTGTAGAAGCATTCTCCCCTGGCTTATGCTGAGGGCCTCAGCCTGGTGCAGGGCAGCTGCTTGGCTCCTCGATCCATGGTGAAAAGCTTAACACTTCTTCTCCTGTGCCTGGCACTAGCTCCTTCCTGACATTCCCATTGATTCTTCTGCCTACGTGGCACAACCGCCTAGGAACATTCCCTGGGAGGAGGAGGAGGCCAAGGTCTGGCCGCTGTGCTCCTGGGGGTGGGGGTGGGGAGGAAGGGGAGGGAGGACACTGCCTTACACTTGACCTTGCAGGGTGGGCAGACCTGTAGGCCCGCTCACCATCAGGAAAAAGGGGGGAAGAAATTAGCACCCAAATGTGTTTAGCTAATTCTTGTCATTGCCCCTCCGTAGGACAGGTAAAGGCCTGTGTGCTTAAAAAAAAAAAAAATTCATGGCACATAGAGACTTAAGCATTGGGAAGAAAATAGCTTTCTACACCATAACCCAGGAACGATCATAACAGAATGTTTAATATGTAACTTTATGTGTATGGGGGAGTGTCAATTTTACTGCAATTTACAGGCTATAAGGAAGCGTGGTTAAAATATGTATATTTCATGATGATGAATTACAAACTAATAATGAGAATGAGATGAGGGGAGGAGAAACCAAATAATAACTGAGAGTGCATCCTTAATTTAAAGAGAAATAAACACAAACTGAGAGCATGATTTCACCTTGTGATCTGGAGAAAGCTCCTTTACTTTCCTGAGCTACTGTTTTCATCTGGAGCTTGAACCAACCTGCTGGCAAGTGTGTCCTCTCTTAGCATGAAGGAGGCAGGAGGCAAGGTGGACCCTCGCCATGGCCCAGCACAGAAGTAGGCTCTTTACAAATAAAATTAGTTTAAAGAATCCACAGATGTTGGGACGCCTAGGTGGCAGCGGTTGGGCGCCTGCCTTCTTGGGCGCCTGCCTTCGTCATGATCGGGTCTGGATAGGGCTCCTTGTGGGGAGCCTGCTTCTCCCTCTGCCTGTGCCTCTGCCTCTCTCTCTCTCTCTCTTTCTGTCTCTCATGAATAAATAAATAAATCTTTAAAAAAAAAAAAGAATCCACAGATGTTTCCTTTTTCAAAATGAAATTTCTGGGTTTTTTTTTTCCTTGAGAAACTATTCCTCACTGAAGGACTTCCTCCTACTTTGGGCTGCTTCTCATCCCTGTAAAACTAGAAGTGATACTACATCTGAAACTAAGTATGTACTGCTTGTTGGTTCATTGAATTTAAATGAGAAAAAAAAAAAAAAACTAGAGGTGATAATTTCAAACCCAAACTGTTTGGTTCTCTTCTTTTCGAGATAAAACTACAGCTCTCCCTGAACAGTTTCTGATGAGCTGTGCACATAATGTAAACAAAATGAGAAACCCAGCCAAACACATGGTGAAAATGATGAACCCTGGGGCACTGATCACGTGACTTGAAAAATGCCATCCATTTCCTGATTCACCTTAATGTATGTGTGGAGGTAGGAGGGATCTCTTATGTCACTGAGATAAGTAACCAGTTTTGTGTCCTCTGTACCTCCCTCCCTTCTGATTGAATTCCAGCCACGCCGCTCTTGACACCTCCATCTCAGCATAGCAGAGCCCAGAAGGGGCTGAAAGAGTGAAAGAGCCCAGAACACGACCTGGAAGAGTGAAGAGGCCGCTATAGGTCAGACGCGCCCTTAGAGGGAAACCTGGATATTTGTGATCTTTAATGACGGGACAAGAGTGTATTAACATCATGAAAACCCTCAGTCCAGAAATCTTAGCCTCCAGGCATTTACATCTTAACTGGATTTTCCTACAGATGAGCCAGGGGACACCTCACAATCATGAGCCACAAGTATTCTTTTACTTGGCTTTTCCTTCTTTTAGATCCATGGCATTTGACAATTAATACAAGTGCTAGATCAGGACACCTGAGGGGCTCAGCGGTTGAGCACCTGCCTTCAGCTCAGAGTATGATCCTGGGGTTCTGGGACTGAGTCCCACATCAGGCTCCCCACAGGGATCCTGCTTCTCCCTCTGTCTATGTCTCTGCCTCACTCTCTCTGTGTCTTTTATGAATAAATAAATAAAATATTTTTTATAATACAAAATAAAAATAAATAAAACTGCTAGATCATCTGAACAACCCCATCAGTTTTGTTTTTAAGCAGCCAAATGTTGGTAAAAAGATGTGCCATTTTATGCCTCACTACCATCGCCTAGGCTGCTGCTTTTTGTTTGTGTGTTCTAAGTATTGGAAGACCTGTGAATATGGCTACAGAGGATGCGAACCTAAGTTTTGACAAAGAATCACTAAGTGGGGAGAGTGTCAGGGAGCATTCAGCCCTGACTCAAGTCCCTTGAGCTTTACCAGAAGCTCTTTCAGGTTTTACCCAAGAAAGGCTCACCCCCCCCCCTTTACTATAGCTGCTCACTCCCCTGGCAGGGGTAAGCAGGCCAGTGGGGGATCTCTAGGCAGCCCAGCGGTTTAGTGCCACCTTCTACCCAGGGTGTGATCCTAGAGTCCCAGATCGACTCCCACATCAGGCTCCCTGTATGGAGCCTGCTTCTCCCTCTGCCTGTGTCTCTGCCCCTCTCTCTCTCTCTCATGAATAAATAAATAAAATCTTTAAAAATAAATAAATAAATAAATAAATAAATAAAACAGCAGCCTGGGAGCACCTGGGTTGCTCAGTCAGTTAAGAATCTTCCTTTGGTTCAGATCATGATCCCGGGATCCTGGGATCCAGCCCTGCATTGGGCTCCCTGCTCAGGCAAGAGTCTGCTTGTCCCTCTCCCTCCTCCTCCTCCTCCTGCTTCTTGTCTCTCGCTCATTTTCTCTCTCAAATAAAACCTTAAAAAAAAAAAAAAAAGATACACCTCATGGCCACATTCAGGGGAGCAGCCTTTTTAAAGCCTACCCACTAGGAGCCACAGCCAAAACAAGGATACAACAGCCAGAGCATGCATTCAACTAGAAGTGCTCATCTATTTTTTACTTAGAAAAGTTTACTAACTCATCTCCCTTCCAGTAAGGGCCTATTAACAAAAGACATTGCATTTTACTTTAGCTGTGTATCCAGAAGACCCAAGTATTCTAGAAATCTGGAAGTATTTTTGCCTTTTCTTATGGTTGAATTTCTAGCAACCCAATTTCTACCCAAAAACAAAGAAAAAAAAGAAAGTAAAAAAAAAAAAACTCTGCTCAAAACACCTCAGTCATCTTTTTTAAGTATAGTATGGAGAGAGGAAAAATGCTAGGTTTAAAAGACTTTTGGAATACCTAGAGGAAATGCAGATGGTTTGTGGCATGGAAATAAACATCCGTATGGTTTTCTAAGTGTCATTTTCTGACATTGGGCCTCGAGTATATCTTGAGTGTCTATAAGCAAACAATGGCTA